AGGGATTCGGGGCCGGCCGCCCTGGGGCCCGAGCCGGGCCAGAGCCACTGGGGCCCGAGCCGGCGCGCTCGACCGGAACTGGAGCCGCTGGGGCCGGCCAGGGCCGGACTGGGCCGTGTTGCGCCCCCCCAGAGCCCTCCTCCTCACATCCCCCCCGCCCCAGCTTATCTCCTGCTGCTGCCCGCTTGCCCCTGCTTCTTTTCAGACTTCCCGCGAAGATCTGATTCGCGGGAAGCAGGGGAGGGAGAGGAGCAGGGGGGCAGAGCGTTCTGGGGACGGGAGGAGGGGGAAGACAGCTGCGGGACCCGGGGCGTGCTAAGGCTGTAGGGGATAGGGGGAGCTGAGAAGGGGCTTTGGCTTTTCGATCTATAAGTAGCCGACCGGGGGGAAATCCCGGACATTTTTAGATTTTTAGAAATCCCCCCCCGGATGGCTATTTATAGATCGAAAAGCCGGACATGTCCGGGGACATCCGGACATATGGTAGCCCTAGGCTCAGGCCTTTCGCTAAGCAGCAGGGGCAGACATAAGCTGGGACGCGAACGGTCACATCCTCACCTCCCAAACCAGCCACACTGACATAAGGGGCTATTGGGCTGTGTCAGGGCTGATTCCCCAGTCTGGCACTTCGAGTGCAGGAAGTGGGGCCCACAAGGACTCTAACAATTAATACTGGCCACTCCAGGCTTGTATCCAGCTCCCCAGGTTACAGCTTCTCTCTGACCTTGGATGGGTAGATGCTGCCACCACCCAAGAGCAGAACCCCTTGGAGAGCCCAGGAAGGGGCACTTGGGAATTCCTCCCTGTGGGGACCCTCAAGCCCTTTCACCCCCACTCTGCAGAAGAGCTGAGAAAAAAACAAAGGAAATCAGCTGTTGCCACCGGCTAATTAAACAATACGGGCACAAACCTCGTAGACACAAAAATCCAATTCTGTTCTTTAAAAAGGTAAATTTTATTAATTAAAAAAAACAAAGAAAATACATCTGGGAACTCAGGCTATTGCTAGATTTTAAAAGGGCAACTACAAGGATTAAGCACGAAGAATAGCTTTCTTGAGGTTCAGCTTAAAGGTTACAAGCAAAACAAAAGCACCGGGGTTAGCACAGAGGAATCCACAAGCCATTAAGAAATAAAAGGGCTAAACCTAATCTTGTCTTCCTAGACATTCCCTGATCCACTTACATAGCTGGGGTTTCAAATGAGTAGTTTCTTGGTATGAGACTGATGACTTTTTCTTACCTGGCCCAAGCTTCTTACAGCATCGCTCTGCCCTGTCTGCCTCTCCCCGGAGAACAACAACAGACAGACAAAAGGGGGGTCTTTTTTCAGTTTTAAAAAGTTCGAGCCTTCCCATTGGCTCTTTTGGCCAGGGGCCCACTCCCTTCCTTTTACCTATGCAAGCAGTGAGACTTTTTAACCCTTTACAGGTAGAGCAAGTAGAGAACAGCTACTAAGAGAGATTTTATAGCTACTGGCTTCCTGAGTGTCCATAAAAGGGAGCTACCCCCACCCCCTTCATTTATCACAGGCTGTTAGGAAGATGATCCTGTCCTGATAGTGCCCATCACCACCAGATAAAGAAACACATCTTAAGATGGTTAAAGAAAACGTAGGTCATGTCTTCACTAGCAACGTGGTTCGTGTAGTCGCAGCACCAGCGCTGGGAAAGAGCTCTCCAAGCACTGTAAAAAATCCACCCCCTGTAGCTCCCAGCGCTGGGGCCCTCTCTATACTGCCACGTTACAGCCGTGAAACTTGCTGCGCTCGGGGGGGGTGTTTTTTCACACCCCTGAGCGAGAAAGTTGCAACGCTGTAAAGTGGCAGTGTAGACAAGGCCTTAGTCTGATAGCATCCTGTCTGGCAAGAAATCACTTCTCAATGGTTGTGAAACCCTCATTTCTGTCTATTTTATCTTTATGGCACCCACTTTTCTGTTGTTAATCTGTCTGGTTCTCTAATTGTTTCTGTCTGCTGTATAATTAATTTTGCTAGGTATAAGTTAATTAGGGTAGTGGGATATAATTGGTTAGAGAATTATGTTATAGTATGTTAGGACTGGTTAGTTAAATTTCAGTAAAATGATTGGTTAAGGTATAGCTGAGAATATTACTGTATAAACTGGGGTCAAACAGGAAGTGGGGGAAGGGAAATTGGATTCATGCTTGCTGGACATTAACCCCAATAAACATCACATTGTCTGCACTATGGACTGCTGGTCTTTTGCTGCTTGCAGTCTGTGTGACAAGAACCAGGGAAGTGACAGGGTGGAGGGAAAGCTCTCTAATATATTGCTCTATAGAGTCACTGCTGGTTCTGGCCAGTGGGAGGACAATGGGCTGCAGGAAGAGGACCCCAGTGACCCGACCAGCCGGTTCCAGCCAGTGGGCAACAAAGCATGGATGAGAGGAGATGCTGGGAGAAGAGGAGACCCAGGAGGCCTGTTTACCTTGGACAGAAGACAGAGGACAGAGGCGGGCGGGGGGACGGGGGGGTGGCGGGACGGTGATATCGGATGCCCAGCTGGAAGGAGGGTTTTCTGGGCTAGGAGGAGAGAGCAGCCAGAGTCCACTTGGTGGCAGGAGAGATCTAGATGTGCTGGGCTGAGGGAGGCTAGGCCTGTGGCCCTGAGAGTTTCCTGGGCTGAGTTCAGATGCTCAATAAGCCCTCCTGTTTTATGCTGGCTGAGAGTTGCTCCGGTGTAGAGAACAGGGCGGGGGGGGGGCATTATTCCCTCTGGGAGTGGAGGTCCCAGTGGCTCCGAGCGAGGGGACTCCCTGAGGGGGCCCACGCAGAACCAGGAGTGCTGGGGGCTCAGAGAGGTGCAGTTCTAGGAGGCGCTGGAGCCCAGGGCTTAACCCCCAAGAGAGGGGGCACCCCCGAGTAGGGCCGTCACACTGAAGGAGGGTCCCCCGAGGGACCATACAGAGTTGAGAGAGCACAAGTCCTGTGAGTCCGTGACACATGAGAATACAGCTTTTAATAAAACAAACTAGAGATTCTGCAGTGATTCTGAACTGCTGTGCACAGCTGTACTGGGTTCTCAACCCAGCTTCCAGGGCGCATCACTAAATTCCTGCATTCATAATACAGTCCATTATGTGGGAGCGTCTCTAAATTATAATCCTCAACAAACATTATCTCTACAACCCCGACCCAGATCAGGGCCCTATTGCGCCAGGTGCTGCACAGACACAGAGGGAGACACAGTTTCTGCCCCAACCAGTTTACAGTCTAAGTGCACAAAATATTATTCTCGTGTTGTAGGCAGGGGAAACTAAGGCACAGAGATGACTAGATGTGATAAAGCTCACACAGGCAGGCTTTGGTAGAGCTAGGAACACAACTGATGTCCCTGAGTCACACTCCAACACTCCGACTGCAAGACCATCCTCCCCTGTGCCACTAAACTGACTTTTTCTCTGCCACCTCCAGAGCCTCGGTGAGCACCCGGTGGGCATCCTCAGCAACGACTTCCAGAAAGGAATGCAGGGCGTTGTATGTAGCTAGGAATGAGATCTGTGTGGCTATGACGGTTCCCAACACTGGTAGGAGGCTTATGTACTTTTTAATTTTTATCGCAGTTTCACACATCTCCTTGTAGCGTTGCTCCCCGAAAAAAATAGTAGGCTTAAACGATATATAATATACACTGAGAATTGGGCTCATTGCACTACCTGAAACCATGCTCAGCAGCTCCAAAGCAACTTCTCTTAATATTTCCTTGGCCAACGGGGTCTTGATCACATCCTTCAACCGAGACACGGGTTTCCTGACCTGTTTGGAGAGTTTAACGAGGGATTCTTCATCCAAACCGAAGACTTTGCAGTACTCGGTCATGGATTCCACCAGGATGTCAATGTCACATGAGACAGAGAGGTGGGGGATGGGAACAGCCGCGATGGCGCATGACTTCAGAGCTCGTTTCCAGATCTGGCTCTTCAGGGCTTCTTTTTTCTTATCCAGGATTGGCCCTGAGATGTTGGGAAGCGCCAAGAGGAAAATGTGTCTCTTGTGGGAGTCCAGTTCGTTGGCCAGAGTTTTCCGCAGTTGGGGAAAATCGTACTGGTCGAAGTCCCACCTGGAAATGAGGAAAACCTGCGGGGAACTCACCCCTTCTCTCCTCAGCCTCTCCACACACTCGTCTCGAGTAGTCTGCAAGGTTGTCTCCTGGTCGTAGTTTCTTTTTCTACTTTCATTTCTCAAGTCCTCATCCACTTTGGCACGCACGAAGTAGAACTTCTTCCCCATCTTCTGGATCTCCTGGGCTAGGTCTGCATTACGGGATGTGAAGCGCTTCGACATGATAATGATGAAGAAGTCATAGCGGGCAAAGCTGACCTGCTGAAAGTAGGTGTCAGGCCGGAAACTTGGAGTCCCAATCCCAGGCATGTCCCACATCTTCACATTGGAGAGCATGGGATGCAGATAAGCGGTTGGCTCTGTTGTCATTTCTGTGATGCCAACCTCTGCTGCTCCTTCGTCATCGTCGGCTAAGCCCAGCATGGCATTGATGAAGGACGATTTCCCAGCTCCCGACTCCCCCGTGATGGCGATGTTGAGCTCAGTGTTTTTTGACAGCTCCAGGGCCTCCTGTGCTTTTTGAGCTGCTTCTGAAAGGTTCCCTGTTTCAAGGGAAGCCTTTAGCTCTTCAACATCCTCCTCGGACATACCAGGGAGTTTAACATCCCGATCTTGAAATAAACCAGACGAAGTTTCTCCAGTAGCATCCATCTCTCTGGGGGAAGGGAAGAGAAGAGAAAGATTGTAGTCATTGTCACAGTGCACCAGGCCCTCCGTGGCCCAGTGGGTCAGACTGTGATTTAGAAGACGTTGGTTCTATTCCTCTTTCTACCCTTTGTCTAGTTAGGTCAAGGGCTATAACTCTTCCTCTACAGCATCTAGCGCAAGGCAACCTTAATCTATGTATGTGCCACTGTAATATACATAATTAATAACTATGGTTAGTAAATGGGAGGGGTCTGCAAAAAAAAAGCATGAACCAAAATATTTTGATTTAGAAATCCTGTTGTGATGTCTCATGGGAGTTGTAGTTCAGGTGACTCATGCCCCCATTCACCATTATAGACCAGACTCCCTGGTTGGACTACATTTCCCATGATGCACCACACTTTCCCCGCTTGGAGAGAGAGAGGCAGAACATCACTGGAGCCTCTCAGCATAGTGCCTCATGGGGGATGTAGTTCAGCCGGGGATCCTCACTCATCGAGGAGATTGAGGACATGAGGGAAATGAACTACAACTTCTATGTGGCACCTTTAAGACTAACAGATGTATTGAAGCATAAGCTTCCGTGGGTGAATACCCACTTTTGTCAGACGCATGCCTATGAGGCAGTGCAGCTGCCCTTCCAAGACAAAATATTTTGGGTGGGTTTTTTTTTTGTAATTATGGATGTTTTTAAGAAAATAAAATCTGATTCTTTCAGCAGATGATCAAAACCAGATTGGATGACAAATTTTCAACCAATAATAGTTAATGATAAGCTGCAGTCAGTAGCAATGAGCGAGGAGTTTCAGCCTTCATCACACCCATAAGCCCACAGAGCTGGTGAGATAACATAGGCTGGAGCATTCTGGGATGCAGGCAGCACCCATGTCCTCATCTCAAACCCTGCTTATGTAACCCACACACATCCTGGGTGCGGTGCTCTGTCCTCTCTAGTGGCACTGAGACCACTTAGAGAGAGATTAATGAGTCTGCTCTACAGTCTTAGCTAAGGGACATGTGGCTTTTAGCTCATGCACTAGCGGCTCATGCACTAAGCTTCAGAGATTCTAGGTTCGATCCCACCCACCAACGACCGGGGTCTGTTGGTGTTACACTAAGTTCTTCTTAGTTTTATGATTCGCCCAGATTCACCTCTGGTGTAAAACTCTGCTGATCTCATTAAACTGATATTTTAAAGAATAAAATAATTATTAATAATGCTTACGATGTTTGAGTGCCCCATTAACTCCAATGGAGCTACAGTCCATTGACCCCAGCTGGGATCTGGCCCCATTAACTCCAATGGAGCTATAGCCCATTGACCCCAGCTGGGATCTGGCCCCATTGATTCCAATGGAGCCATGGCCCGTTCACAGCAGCTGGAGATTCTGACCCATAGATTTTCCCCGCCATCAGACTAGAATCCTCTGAGCTCCAGGCCTGTGCATTAATCACAAGACCATAGCGCCGACTTTCTAATGCGCTGGGGTGCTTGACCCCCAAGCTCTGTCCCAGCACCTCCCCCACTCCAACCCTTCCCCCAAGACCCCACCCCCGCCCTGCCTCTTCCGCCCCCGCTCCACTCCACCCCTCCCCACCTCTTCCCACCCCATTCTGCCCCCTCCCCGAAGTGCACCACACCCTCACGCCTTCCCTCTCCCCCTCAGCGCCTCCTGCATGCCACGGAGCAACTGATCGCGGCGGGCGGGAGGCACTGGGAGGGAGGGGGGAGGCACTGATACAAGTGATTAATCCTCATAACTTTTTCCAGTGGGTGAGAGACTCCAGTCGCTGGTCTCCAGCTCCCTTGAGAGTCTCTGTCTGGGGACTATTGAAGTGCTGAGACTGCTGCACTCACTTTTTCTCTTCCGCCTCCAATGCCTTGATCAGGACCCTTTGGGCATCTTCAGCCGCGTTATCCAGAAAGCGCTGCAGGACGGTGCATGTGACCGAAAAAGTCATCTGTGCCTCCACCAAACCACCGACCAACGGTATTGCACTGAGGATAC